CACTCTTGGACACAGTGCATTGCCTCCCTGAACAATCTTGGCATCATGCCCGGGGAAGCCGACCTACAAATGCTACCGGGACCTGTTGCGTTCTGTCCTGTCTTTAAAGAGAGAGAGAGAGAGGGAGGGAGAAAGATGGATGATTGGAGGAATGGAGGAAAAGAGAGAGAGGGGAGGGAGGGAGTGAGGGAGAAAGGATGGATGGAAGAGAGAAGAGAGAGAGAGAGAGAGAGAGAGAGAGAGAGAGAGCGAGAGAGAGAGAGAGAGATGGAGATGGATGGAAGAGAGAGAGAGAGGGAGGGAAAAAAGGGATGGAGGAGAAGAGAGAGAGAAGAGAGGGGGAGGGAGAAAGATGGTGATGGAGGAAGAGAAGAGGAGGGAGAAAGATGGATGGATGGAGGAAGAACAGAGAGAGAGAAGAGGGGGGAGAAAAGATGGATGGATGGAGAAGAGAGAGAGAGGAGAAAGGAGAATGGATTGGATGGCGAAGAGAGGAGAGAGATAGAGAGCGGGAGAAAGATGGATGGATGGAAAGAAGAAGAAGAAGAAGAAGAAGAGAGAGAGAGAAGAGAGGAGAGAGGAGAGAGAGAGAGAGAGAAGAGAGAGAGAAGAGAGGAGAGAGAGAGAGAGATGAGAGGAAGGGAGGGAGAAAGATTGGATAATTGGAGGAAGAAAGAGAGAGAGGGAGAAGAGGGAGGAGAGCGATGGATGGCTGGTAGCAGAGAAGAGAGAGAGAGAGAGGGAAGGAGGGAGGAAGAGAATGGATGGGAGGGAGGAAAAGATGAGAAGAGAGAGGAGAGAGCGAGGGGAAAGATTGGATGGAAGAAGAAGAAGAAGGAGAAAGAGAGAGAGAGAGAGAGAGAGAGAGAGGAGGAGAAAGAATGGATGAGGAAAGATGTTGGAGAGAGACGAGAAGGGAGGGAGAAAAGAATTGGATGAATTTGAGGAGAGAAGAGAGAGAGAGGGAGGAGAAAAGATGGATGGATTGAGGAACGAGAAGAGAGAGAGAGGAGGGAAGGAGAAAGATGGATGGATTGGAATGATAGAGAGAGAGGGAGGAAGATGCAATGGATGGAAGACGGGAGAGAGAGAGAGAGAAGGAGGGATAAAGAATGGATGGATGGATGGATGGAGAAGAAGAGAAAGAGAGAGGAGGGAGAAAGATGGATGGATGGAGGAAGAGAGAGAGAGAGAGAGAGAGAGAGGAGGAGAGAGACGCAAGAGAGAGAGAGAGAGAGAGAGAGAGAGGAGAGAGAGAGAGCGAGAGAGAGGAGAGAGGAGAGTGAGAGAGAGAGAGAGGAGAGAGAGAGAGAGAGAGAGAGAGAGAGAGAGAGAGAGAGGAGGGGGGGGGGGAAAGATGGGTGGAATGGAGAAACGAAACTGAGCGAAAGAAAGGTGATAAGGAGGGTGGAGGGAGAAAAATGCGAGAAGTGAGATTAAGATAGGGAGAGGGGAACAAGAGAGAGAGATAGGAAGGGAGAAAGAGAGACGGAATTAGAATGAAGGAAAGATGGGAGGAGAGCGAGAGAGAGAGAGAGAGAGAGAGAGAGAGAGAGAGAGAGAGAGAGAGAGAGAGAGAGAGAGAGAGAGAGAGAGAGAGGCAGACAGACAGGCTAGTGGGCAGATAGAAAAGCAAATATATTATAAAAATCCAACTTCATTTAGAACTTCCTTTCATGTAAAACTTTTAAATTCATGATATTTTTATACGTTAATTGACGTTTTTTTTATTTTAATTATTGTAGACCTGTAGTTTATACATAGTTCTGGACCTCTTTGTGTCCTAATGATAAACTTTAATTTGACAAAATTCCTCTCATAATTTTCAGCATAAAATAATCGTCATTTCCGCATGCATTTTATATTTTTCACTATAAATGTTATTTTTCCATTACATTTCTCTTAAACCGGAATCTTGGCCACGACAGTTAACCCTCACATGCCGGGTCACGTAATATTACGACCGTGGAAGGGATGCAGGCAGGCAGCGTTATTATATCTGAGGGTCAGAGAAATAGAATTTTGCCAACGTAAGAGGATCACCTTGTCACCCAATGTCCGTCGTTTAGAGGTTAAGTATTACTTCAGCATTCAATCCTATTTATATATTTACATTCGTTCAAGTTTTGTTGATGTGAGGATCACGCAATTTTCCACTAATGCAGAATTAAATAAGGAGGATTTTGATGAACCACGCGGAAATCCAGGAGGTGTTTTTGGAGCTTTATAAATATCCTCCTTCCTTCCATCTCCTTCCTATCCCACCTTTCTTTATTTTTTCTTCACGTCCCGTTTCTCCTCCATCATAACCTCTTAGCCACACTACTCCTTCTTCTTCCCTCTCTCCCTCACATTCTAACCTCCTTCCTACCACATTCTACACCTATTCCCCCTTCCATTCCGCTTCCATTCCTCTTCCCTCTCTACCTCCTTTCTTTTCTATTACCTACTCCTAGATATTTTCAGATGTTCCTTCATATCTCTTCCAACCCCTGTCCTTCCCTCATTCCTTCCTCAACCCACTTCCTTCCCCTACCATCACCCCAAACCCCTATCCTTTCCCATCCTCAACCCCCCCTCCTCCAACCTCGTCCTTAACCCGGTCTCTGTCCAACTCTTTCAATCCTCCATCTCCTCTCCCCCCTTCCTTTTCTAGTCCCAACCCCTCCATCTTTAGCCCACCTCCATGTCTCTCTCTCTCTCTCTCTCATCTTTTTATTACATCCGTCTCCCGACCCCTCCCTCCACATCCCCCCCACCCCCGTCTCCAAACACCATCCTTTCCCCCCCTCTACTCCCCCAGTTTTCTCTCCTCCCCCCACTCTCCCCATTCCCTCTCCTCCCCCCTCACTCCCCCATTTCCCTCTCCTCCCCCCCCACTCCCCATTTCCCTCTTCCCCCCACACCCCCCACCCCCAACCCGACCCTCAAGACACTGATCTAATACATAAACAGCATAAAGATTTCCTGTAGTCATCTGTGCTATATCATCTCCTCTTATGCTTTGGTCACATGAATTATTTAGACACTATATCCTCGTCCTGTTATATTTATCGGGACATAAGTTACCCACGTTATCCTTGGCCCGCATGATCTTGGCTGTGTGTGATATATTTGCCCATCGTATATTGCCTGCGTCTAAGATTCGCTTGCGGCCCGAATTTTAGCAAAGATCTATGGGTACATACACTTAACATTCGTGTATAGGAGTATCTATGTGAATTGGTCTATTTCTATGTTGGTAATCATATCCACGGTCCTTTTGTTATTTATATTTACGTTAATTGTGGTGTCTATTTTGACATTTATCTATTTGTATGTATCTTTGGTCTAAATAGAATAGATGAAGAGAGAGAGAGAGAGAGAGAGAAGAGAGAGAGAGAGAGAGAGAGAGAAGAGAGAGAGAGAGAGAGAGAGAGAGAGAGAGAGAGAGAGAGAGAGAGAGAGAGAAAGAGAGCAGCGAGAGAGGAGATAGAGAGAGAGAGAGAGAGAGAGAGAAAGAGAGGGAGAGAGAGAGAGAGAGAGAGAGAGAGAGAGAGAGAGAGAGAGAGAGAGAGAGAGAGAGAGAGAGAGAGAGAGAGAGAGAGAGAGAGAGAGAGAGAGAGAGAGAGGAGAGAGAGAGAGAGAGAGAGAGAGAGAGGAGAGAGAAGAAGAGGAAGAGAAAGAGAGGAAGGAGAGGGAAGTAGAGAGAGAGAAGAGAAGAGAGAGAGAGAGAGAGAGAGAGAGAGAGAGAGAGAGAGAGAGGAGAGAGAGAGAGAGAGAGAGAGAGAGAGAGAGAGAGAGAGAGAGAGAGAGAGAGAGAGAGAGAGAGAGAAGAGAGAGAGAGAGAGAGAGAGAGAATAGAGAGAAGAGACGTATGAATAAGTAGATGAATAGATATTTAGATAGACAAATGAATCAAACCATATAGATAACAAGATGGAATGGGAGAGGGAGAAGGAGATAAGCAAATAAATAAATACATAAACAGATACATAGACACACAGATAGACAATCAGATAGACAGAGAGGTGCTTTCCCTGTCTCTGAATACATAACTACTGTGCATCCCATGAAGTAATTGCTTTTACATTTGCGTCGTCATTGCCTCTGCTTCGTCTTCATTAACTCTCTGGTTATTATGATAAATGTTTTCCCGTATTTTATGGTGAGATTATTTTCTAATTTGGGTGATTCATTCTCTTGCTGGTCTGTTCAATTTGGCTTTGGAGGAGGTACTGTATGTTAAGGCTTAGGTAATGAGGGAAAATGGGTATTTTCGGGAATTGAAAATGAATTCCCTCCTTATTAACAAAAAGGATTTTATTTATTATTAGTTTTTTATTTATTCTTTATTTTTATTTTTATTATTATCATTATTATTTATTTTTGCTAATTTCCCTTAGATTCGTTTTCAACTTCAGGGTTTGATCTAAGTATATATATTTTTCTAACTGTTTAATGATACTGCTGTTCATTTCGACTTCTGATTAATAACACTGGATATTAAATTGAGATAGATGATGCAAAACTTTAGTCTGGAAAGATCTAATTAATGATTTGGAAGTAAGTTAATAGTTTACTAAATACAGTCTATATGTACATGTATACATACGTGCGTCCATCTATACATACATACACGTGTGTGAGTGTGTATGTGTGAGTGAGTGAGCGAGTGAGTGTGCATGTGTGCGAGTGAGTGAGTTATGAGTGTGAGAGTATGTGTGGTGTGTGAGTGAGTGAGTGAGTGTGTGAGTGAGTGAGTGAGTGAGTGAGTGAGTGTGCATGTGTGAGCGAGTGAGTGACTGAGTGAGCGTATGTGTGTGTGTGTGTGTGTGTGTGTGTGTGGTGGGTGTGAGTGTGTATGTGAGTGTGTATGTGTAATGAATGAGTGAGGAGTGAGTGAGTTAGTAAGTGAGTGAGTGTTGTCTTTTTTTTTTCTTCTTTCTTTCTTTTTTAACTCATACCTCCCTTTCATCCATCCTTCCCCCCCCTCCACCCCCCTTCCTCGTCGAACTCACCACATCGATGATTTGTTGCAGCGTGAGGCCCAGCTTGACCACGATGGCTGAAGACTCGTTAGCAATGGGGCGTTCGAGGGTGTTGTAGTTCTTGAGGAGGTCGTTCAGCAGCTGCCGCTCGTAGTGCCCGGGCATGCAGCCTGACGGAGAGAGAGAGAGAGAAGGCCGTTAGGAGGATGGGCTGAGGGATAGAGGCTGTGGGCGGGCATGTGTAATGAGGATGAGATTATTATTATTATTATTATTATTATTTTTTTTTTTTTTTTTTTAGATGCACATAAAACAGGAAATACAAAAATATATACATAATATATATTATATATCTATCTATATCTATATTCATATCTATATATATACAATAATAATAATAATATATATAAATAATAATAATAAAAAGTCACTTTTACAACAGCATTTCTATCACTAATCAACACACACGTCAAAACGCCGACGAGAAGCATATTAGCATAAACGACTACTTTCCCCTTCCGCAAATGGAAAATCCAGACAGCTAGCTCGAGTCTTAATGGATATGCAACGGCTAAAACTGCATAAGTAAGTTTGCAGTAGAAAGCCTTTCAATGTGCAATGCAGCCCCTTGCACTGAAATCCTTCCTTCCTCCTAGATACTAATGTCTTTGATGCAAATAGGAATTAATTGGCTTTCAAATCCTATATTTATTATCTGAAAGGCACAGAATTATATCTATATATTTTTCGTTTTTTTACGTTTTTTTTATCTTATTTTATGTAGTAATATGAGAGCAAAACATGTCCCTGTTTAGCATTTTCTTCGTAGTATTGCAAATGAATTATGAGGCTAATAAAATGTATGAGGTGTTTATACCATCCCAAGATGAACGGCAAATGCAGGATGTTGCAAAGGAGAGGGGAGGAGATGGATGTGCAATAAGAGAGCGCCAAACACCGAGGTCATAAACTAAGGCAATGGGTCTTAGCCACGCCCCCTCTGGCTGTGGTTCCTTGCTTCCACGCCCCCTCTGGCAGTGAGTCCTTGCCTTGACGCCACCTACTGTCCTTCTTCAAGCAAAGTATTTCAAAATTATCAAAATGAAAAAGATAAATAAAAGGAAGAAGTGCTAAGAATGGAAGAATTGAAGAATTCCTTTCTCCAGCAGTTTTTTTTTATCAGAATAAAAAAAGATAAATAGAAGGAAGAAATGCTAAGAATTGAAGAATTGAAGAATTCCTTCTCCAGGCAAAGTTTTTTTTTTTTCAAAATATTAGAATAGACAAAGAAATAAAAGGAAGAAAGGCTAGGAATTTTACATAAGCAACACTTTGTCAAGAGAGTTCTAGATTTACTATAATTGTATGAACTCCTACTTTATTCCTTCCGGGTACGCTCCTTCCCTGGGAATCACTCACACCCCCTTATGGGAAAGTACCCTCACTCTAAAAATCTCTTGAGTTACAGCCTGTATGCGGGTACGATAGCTCTCCTAGTGGGAATTTGTGTATTTCAGAGGCTTTTTCCACTCACTTTGCAACGAACCGTGGCAGGTTATGTTGATTAATACTGTAAACATGACATCAGGAGTAAGCAGGAGACCTAGTTCCTCATGCTTTCAGTCAAAGGGAAAAAGATTTCGCATGTATATGGCTCAAAAGTCATTCATATCACCTCTTAGTACTAGCGAGTGTCTCATTTTACCGGTTGACGCGTAAACCTGGTTGTACTGACCGGACTTGCTATATTTTAGGACATTTATGAGTTTTATGTGACGAAGGCAGGAGAATACTTAGTCTCAGACCATCAGTATCTTTCTAGGTGATATTTCCTTACCAACCTAAGCCTCGTTACCCGAATCATTAAACTATTTAAGGATATACGGCCGGTTTGTTAAATTTGTGCGAGGCCGATCCAAAGATTATTATCACAGCCATGTAATATACACGGTAATAAGTACATATCTCTCCGTATAGACGTGATCTACCGGGTAGTTTGGTAGATAAATGCGTATCAGATAGATAGACAGAAATACATCTATTTCTGTGAATTGGCACGTCCGTATAAATGACTATTTATGAGATCGGACCTCGCGCAATTTTAACAAACTGATAGTGTTTTTCTCTATTTTGGAAGTGCAATTAATCACACTTACCCCCTCCCCCCCCCCACTCCCCTCCCCCAGCCACTATCATCTGCTACAGGCAAGATGTAATTAAAGTAAATAAAGCGTACAGGAGCAGCCCATTCGGTATTACTTTTGTACGAACGGGTTGTAAATGTAACCCAGATAGAGTTTCCGGTTCACATAATACGTTACTGAGGAAATATCAGCTCTATTAAGCAGAGTAAACAGCTTCCAAGTAAACAGTGCTGCAGTTTCACGGATGTTTGAGGTTTGTTTGGAAACAGCTTTATGGATGCAAACACTATTACCCGGAGTAAATAGCTCTCAGGGAATCATGTTTCAGCTGCAGCCTCCGCTAATTAGTGCTATTGGCCGCTTCCGTAACTTGGTGCGTATCGCATGAGCTAGTGAGCACTTGGTTGGTTTTAGGCTTGGGGGTTTATGCAGAGTGTATGAGTCTTCACTTCCCAGCCGGGTATTGCACGCATGCGCACACACACACGCACATACACACGCACACGCACGCACGCACGCACACGCACGCACGTACGCAACATGCACACACACACACACGAACACACACACACACACACACACACAAGCACACACACACACACCACACACACCAATTCGATCTCCCTTTATCGTATAATCAGTGATAATCCTGCGTGATCTGTCAGCCCCGAGCATTTAAGTATATGGATATCATTGGTTTGAGTTTACGCTTATGAACAAATATTAACACCTACACACCTCACTCGCCAAAGACTTCCTATTGTAAATTCACTTTCCTAAAGCACTAGCGAGTCACCAAAAGTACACACGCTAATTGTTATTTGCACACATTACCTCACTTATTTTGAACCACCAGATATAACTTAACTTAAGCCAAGGGGGTGGAAAGACAGCTATACCCCTCTACCACCAACCACAAAAGCACTTGCAAAGCTACTTCCCTGCATTGGCTTATCAACCCCTTGAAATAGAGACAACCTGTTTGAATTTATGCAAAAAAGGAGTGAACTCTCACACCCGCAATAGCCTTCCCATCACCAAAATACACACGCACTTGTAAAAACACTTCCCTCCGTCGATTCATCAGTGCCAAGTACAGTACACATGGTCACTGTAGCGAGAATGGGGAGGCATTTTCGAGTGCCAGAGGCGCAGATCGCAATGCTCTGTCTCTCTCTTTTTCCTCACTCCTCTCTCTCTCTCTCTCTCTCTGTCTGTCTCTCTCTCGTTCTGATTTATCTGTCGCTCTGTCTCTTTCCTTCTCTCTCTCTCTGTCTGTCTCTGTAGCTCTGTCTCGTTCTTTCCATCTCTCTCTCTCTCTCTGTCGCTCTGTCTCGTTCTTTCCATCTCTCTCTCTTCTCTCTCTTCTCTCTGTCTCTGTCTCGTTCTTTCCATCTCTCTCTCTCTTCTGTATGCTCTTCGCCTCTGTTTGTCTGTCTGTCCGTCTCTGTGCCTATCTCCTTCTCTGTCCGTCTCTCTGCCTGTCTCTGTCTCTCTCCAACACGCAATCCACACAGCACAACGTCGTGTGGTATTGACACTGAAAATATTACCTTCACCATATCACCTCATGCACTATTTCCTCTTTCGGATCTTCTGCCATTTTTCTTGTGCGTCGTCCGTTTGTGTCTCCTTTTTCATATCCTTTTGTTTCTTCTCATTTTATTCCTTTTTCCCTGTTTTCCCTTTTTCCTTTCCCCTCAATCTTAGTCAGAAAAGCTTATGGAATTATCGGTATTTTTTCCATATCTATTCTTCCTGCAATCAGACTCCATTCTCCCTATTCTGTTCTCTCTTCTTCCTTTTTATCTTTATGCTCTTCTTCATTCTATCTATCGTCTTCCATTCTGATAGCATTCTCTTTCACGTTATTTTTTATGAATTCAGCATCATTTGTATTCCACGTTCTTGAGTTCCTGCAGCATATCTTCTCACCATAATAACAATAAGTCAACATAAATACAAACAACAAACTCGCACTGAATCACGAAGTAATAGATATACAAAACATATACATACACACACGGAACATATACACACACCTGTAGGCTACGTGTGTGTGAGTTTAACAACACAACACACACACACAAAAAAAAAATCGGAGAAACTAGTCCATTCCATCGCCTCTTCCTCTATCTTCTCACTCCCTCCTCTTCATCCATCTTTCACCCTTCCGTCTTGCTATCCCCTCTCTTGCTCTTTCTTCTCCTTCCTCCTCCACCTCCTGCTCTTCTATCCTACCCCCCCCCCCCACCACACACACACCCGTCCCCTTTCTTGCTCCTCCTCCACGATTCTCAGTCTAATACTTACGTCAACATCAATATTCCTCAGTTTCCTTTTCCTGCTTCATTCTCTGTCCTCATCCCCATACTCTAGTAGCAGTTTCAGTCGCATAAGATTTCTGAGTGCATCACCGTCCCCCGTCGGCTACATTTACTGTTGGTTACTTTCCCGTTGACTACTATCCCTGGCGGCTACCATCTCCGTCGGCTACTTTCACAACCGGTTACTATCCCGTCGGCTACTTTCACGTCGGCCTCTATCACCGGCGGCTACTTTCCCTGTCGACCACTGTCCCCGTCGGCTACTTTCCAACTCGGGCCCTTTCCCAGTTGGGTATTATTATCCCCGTCGGCTACTTCCTCCTTCGGCTCTATCCGCGTCGGCTACTTCCCCCTTCGGCTCTATCCGCGTCGGCTACATTCTCCGTCATCTACTTTCCCCGTCAACTACTATTCCCCTCGGCTACTTTCCCCGTCGGCCGCTCCTCCCCCTGTATCTCATCTCGGGTCCGACAGCGAAACACGTTAGTCACGCCCCACACGCTTTCCCTCGGACGTGCCTGTCTCCCTTCGTTGTCTGACCCGTATTTATAACCAGGAA